CATTTTGTACCATGATCATCCCCTCTGTATATCGGAAGACCTGGAAGACAACTGAAAATTCTCACATCATTGAGAACTTCTCAGATAAAATAGTAATATGGCATACGGCCTTGGCCCGGATCATCTGACGGATAGCTGATAATCAATCTATTGTATGCTGCATACAAGCTGTTCATTTTGGTCCTATGTTCTTACAGACTCCCAACAAGAGGAAAGGAAACTCAATGTTCCCCTAAATCGATGAAGGCTCATAATATCTTGGGACGAAAGCGGTGATGATCCTTGACAGAAGGAAGGCTTCATGATCGCAGGCAACATGCACATGCTCTTCCTTGATGTGTTATAATTCAGTCAAACAGATATACGTGCAACTTTAAGCAAATGACAATCGCCTTGAGAAAAATATACATTCTTGGGTAATGGGTAATTAGCTAATCAACGAATCTCCGTGCCTCGTAGTCAGTCTTGACGTACAGAACAAAGTATTAAACAGGATGCCACCTTATCGATTTAAAAGAGAAGATCTTCACTTCGCTTACCAAAACATCCAGGGCAGTAAGTGGATCGAATCATGTCCATCAGGAGTGGAAATTGCAAAGTTGCAAACAAGGTCACAGGAAGACAAGCAATTGCAGCTATTGGGACAATTGTCCATGCCCTTTTATCACCAAAAACAAGGTAGATGGTGGCACTAAAGGCTATCATCATGGTTGTTATAGAGATGAATAGGGTGACAAGACCTATTATTAACCTCCTAGGAAGGGAGTAGAGAAAATCAACTTCTGCATATCGTGCTGTGAGGATGGACAGAAACATTAGGAGGGAAGCAGTGGAAGAGAACAGTGAGAGAGCATCAGCAGCAGCGAAGATATTAAATGCTAGATCATTGGAAAAAATGGGGCTGCCAGTGTCTCCATTGTTGCCCCCAGGCACAGTAATGGATGCTGCAAAAGCTATTGTAGCAATAAGAGTTGCTGAAACCGTACAAGAGTTTGCTGCATCTTTCATCCATTTCTCTCCTTCTTTAACCAAGTCTTTGTGTTCCACGGAAAATTCCACTGCTGGAGTTCTTCCACTGGAGTTTTTGTGAGCCTTCGATTCTGGGAGCACATGTTTTTCCACTTCCTATGCAGGAAAATAAAGAAATCAGTTGAAAATAGGCTCAATTTTAACTGCCCACCGTGTGAAAATTTGATTCATGGCTTCCCCACTCCTAAAAATAACTTATGTTGGTTCTGTAGAAACCAGTCCAATTTACAGTGTGCTTGAGATAAATAACACCTATGACGTTTAGTGTGCAGAGAAACTGTTTACCTTGTACCACTGTAGCTCACGCTGCATCTGTAGCGCTGCACCAGATACAAGATTAAGTTGAGCAGTAGGTGCTAACTTACCAGCCAAATGCAAGATGTTGTTCATCTTGTTATCTACAAGACGCAGAGCCAACCGTTTATGCCCACTCATCTGATACAAGAGGTTAAAGATGCCCTCCCTACGGTTGGCAACAGCCGTCATGAATATATTGTGCCCCTCATGGTTCCTTGACCAAATTGCTGGCGGAAACGAATGCAAAATCTCTTCAACAATCACATTATTCCCAAAACTTGCCCCAACAATGATTGGCTGTTGAAAAAATGATGCAGCTGTTGCATAATCCAACTTTGATACTTCGGTGCACAGGCATCTAACAAGTTGAAGTGCCTGCAGATGCATAAATTTTGTCTCTCGTGCATCTCTGACATGTGGCACTGCAGTAAAAGTCCTCAGCTCTTGGCTACTGTAATCTGTAATCTGAAGTAGTTTCTGTCCTAGCATAGTTAATTATTCACTCATACCTAAATTCACAATGATTTTCCAGAATGCTGCCTGCAACTTTTGGCACCCTGTCATTTGATAGGTAAACCAGTTGCAGTGAGAGGAGGAAATTTTGCAACAGAAAATGAAGACAACTATAACATGTCCATCAAACCAACTTCTGGAGAAAGACACCAAAGGTCAAGAGACCACAACAATGAAATACCTTGGAGATGATTACGGATTTAGTTTTAATATTGTTCAATCGACTAAACAGAATGGGGGTGGGGGGCCACCTCATATAAAGTTGATACTTCAAGCAGAATTGTTTACTAATATTTTCAATTCTAATTTCCAAATTTTCTTTTCCATCCATGATCTTTCCTTTTTCTTATTTCATTAATTTGACTCCAAAGTATAGGCAATGGTGTCTTAATCAACCTGAGAAATTCTCAGAATCCACTTTATTCCAGTTAATGTTAAATCGGATGCTCTTGTCCTTATTGCAAGAAATCTTCACTCGTTATAATGCATTCTTCCTAAAAATCTCTACCTTCTATGAACTTCTGACCATAAGAAGGGACTACAGACAAACCACAAAAGTTGAGCTTTCGAATGCAGCAGCAGATTCTTGCACATGATTGGCAGCCAATATCTGGATTATCTGGATACTTTCTTTTTGGGTGCTCGTAGAGATTCCAAAAGTATGCTGGCATACCTTCAAGAAAGAAACAATGAATAAAACTGTAGTATTTACTAAACATGTAGACCATTTTTCAATTGATCACTTATGTAGTGTTTCTGCCTTGACTATTGATTATACAGATACAACTAATATGGTTGTAGACCAATGATATCAGCAGTGCCTTAGCCACTTCTTCCTGCTATAGATTCTTAAATGATCCGAAAATGGAGAACCTCACATTCTTACAATGAAGGAAGTAACTCACGTGAGTAGAGAAATGTTTCCCAAATTTTGACTGAACTTCCACCTGAAACTGACAAATCCTTTCTAGCAATTATGCTCAATGCAGAGTTACCTGCAGGTGATTTTGCTGTAGCCAACCCCGGATAGAGTTGAATCATATAGAGGGCTAAGTCTGTAGAGAACATAAAATGGTTTATGTTGAAAGGGGGCAGAAACTTACTTATTCTTCAATCAGGCGAAACTGAGAAAAAAGCAATTCAAAGAGATTGAAATAGCGCTTAAAATTACCATAGAACTCTGCAATTATCATTAGATTCAGAAGCTCGGCACCAGATTCATCTCTGAAAGGATTGGGCTGAATGTCGTCTCTTGTGACAGTTAATAAATATGAAACTGCATCCTTGTTGGCATAACCAGCAGCAAGGTGGATAGGCAGAAAACCAGTATTGCTTGGAGCATTAGTCATGGCAGGACTTCTGTTCACTAGTAGCTTTGCAGCCTCAACATTGCCAAATATGGCAGCATAGTGCAGGGGTGTCTGACCGGCTTGATCTCGCAAACTCGGCAAAATCTCAGGTTGGATCAATTCCAACAACTCTTTGACAAAATTTATTGCCATCACTGTCCCAACTGCAATGTGCAGTACTGTCTCCAAAGAATGAGTAATTTTAGCAGTAACTGCATCGGGATCTCGATTAAAGAATTCTCTGGCACTTTCCCAGTCACCTTGTAGTGATGCTTTATACAAGGGGAGGTACCAGTTGAGATCCTTCTCAGGTTCCTTCTTTTCCAATGGTGTTGGTTGGCTGGGACTTTGATCTTTAGCATTAAGAAGGAGTCTCATTAGTGGTCCAGGCTCAGGACTGGTGCTGCTGTTATTTATCTCAGATGCTGAGGAAGAGCTAGCCATTTTCTTCTAAAATGATCACTTATCAATTTCTTGAGGTACTGCTTGATTAAGTAATGTATTATGATATCCAATCCACAGTCTGCAAGCCAAAACGAACCTCAGAAAATGACTCAAGTTTTTCCAACATTTCAAAGTTAATCAATGCTCAATCAAGCCAAATTGCATATGAAGAGCAGAACTTAAAGAATGAGTCAATTCGGGGAACAAGTACATCTATTTCTGCTGCTGTTATGCTCAAGTGAACCACACAAGTAGTAAAAAATCAGAATGCAACATATTCCTACAAGGCCATCAAGCACTCTTGCAGAGAGCAGTTATTTTCAGGGAGACATCATGCTTGTTACTGCCAAAGTTTCTTCCAGACCAAATGATTGTGTTTGTCAGAAAGACAGTCACCAGCACATATATATCCAGATAATACCTAGCTAACTCACTTAACTGAAGGAAAACCTGAACTTAAAATACTATCCCCCATTTTTGGTAGTAAAAGGGTGTGCATCCAACAGCTCCAATACACAGTTCTAGTACATAAGATTCCATCACTGATGCATAACTTCACATTTGAGAAAGTAAAGGAAGAAAAGGAAAAACATGATGATTATAAACATTCCCATTTTCACACGCACAGAGAGAGAGAGAGAGAAGTAAACTACTTGAGAGAAATTTCTCCTGATGGCAACAAAAAAGTTAAAAACTCGCTTGACTAGATGGATTAATCGTCCATTGTCCTCTATATACCATTTTGATGTTGCTTCATCGCCTTACACAAGAATATGGTAGTACTACCAAATAAAGTAGAAATCCATGATTAAAAGTGCAGAACAGGAGAAAAGGAACTCTTGAATTCTTAACTACTTATATAATACTTCATACTGCAGCTAAAAACGAGAAGACCCAGTTAAGTAAAATCACTTACCATGCAGGGCCAAATCAATGTACCTGAATTATATCTTACCAAGATATTTCTGACCAGCTACTAGAGGGAAGAATGAACTGTATGCATACTTGCTCTGCTTCTTCTGCTAGCCCGTTGAGTCTCCATTTTCAAAGCCTCGAGGAAGCCTAGCATCACCTGTACAAATGATCTATTACTACTGTTGATATTAATTTGCTTCATAACTACCTCGGCCCCTAGGCTATCTACATCCAACATAAGGTAACAACTGATTTTTCTGACAGTTTGTTCGAGCTACGTATATGACACGAAACGAGTTAGATTTGACAACTGGGCTAACTCACCTTAAATTCTCCAAGCACCACCCCAAAGCCCAACAAACAACCCCTGAGCCCAAAACAAAAACAAAATTGACCCAAACGAAAAGAAATATTCTCGGATGTTTGCTTAGTTGACTACTTTACTTATTATTCTGCTGCTTTTCTTGCTCTTGCTGTTTGTCCACGCGAGAGTCGATGTCCGCTTGGGTGGAGCACCAGCATTGTAAAGCTAGAATTCAACTGTAGCCCGTCTAAATTAGCTCTATAATCAGGGATTTGATTACCTATTTGCCTGTTCCGGGCAGTAATTATCGAGAATTTGAGTTGAGTTGAAGGTTAACCCGATGGAAAATAGAGTAGAAAAGCAAAATTCTCTGCAGGCCATCCTTTACAAGCGTGGTTCGCTTCAATTGCTTGATCAGGTACGAACGTGTATATATCCAAGTCTATAACTAAGAAAGATTTTTTGTGTTTTTTTTTGTTTTTTTGGTGTCTGTTTCTGTTTTGGTAGTTAATTGGTTCGTTAAATGTTGGTGGTTGAACAGAGGAAACTTCCACTTGAGACAATCTATTTGGATATTCAAGACACAAATGATGGATGGTAACTTTTTTTTTTTTTTTTTTTTTTTGGGGTTTTAGCTTTCTGAATTTGAAAATTTTTTTCTTGAAGAAATTCGATGCTATGGTCAACCTGGGCTTTTCTATCCTTGCCGTTATTGTCGATTGAATGTTTTGGAGCGTCAAAATTTTAGTGCATTTATGGTTTACTATTTGATAGGAGAAAATGAAATCAATGGAAGTCATGTGAATCAGCATAACGGGGACAGTAGGAAATAGCAGTTTGCTTCATGTTATTCCTGATAAAGCAGGTTAAATAATCATACATGATAGGATTCTTGCGAATTTTACTACATCGCTGGAAAGCATCTTCATCTAGTTTTTTCAGGAGTCTCATGTGCAACTGAAGTTTTGCATCATTTTTTCCCCACAATTACAGAGAGCTTTGTATTCAAGTAAACATCTTAATATTTAGTTTCCTTTGATCCTCCCTTCATAGGAAGTCTCGAGGTTTTTCCTTGGTTGTCAGGAAGTATTGGCTGTCTACTGATGCATGATAGTTACACACTTATTTGCACGAAAGGAATGGTAGATATTACAAATTTTGGGGTTTACTTGCATTCTTTATGCATTGACATCTAATTCAAATGAAAATGAATAAACAGGAAATCTTCGACACTGTTGAATATGAGATGCACCTCCATTGCTGGCTGGATTGGCTATTTCCAAATTCCATTGCCTTGTAGTGACTTTAAAACAAGATGTTTTGCTGCATTATCCATCTTGCTTGTTCTGATATCTCATTCAATTTTCTGCTGACCCTAGTAGTATCTTTTTTTTTCATGAATTATACTGTGGTTAGGCCCTTTGATATGCTTCAAAAATGTTTATTTCTTGTGCACGTGCATGCTTGTCAAGAAAACAATTGAGCGCTCGGTTATAATCTTCCTTTTCTTCATATTTTGTATCAGGGTTGCTATAAGGGATATGGTTGTTCGTGGTGCACCTGCTATTGCTATTGCTGCTGCTCTTTCCTTGGCAGTAGAAGTATCTAACCTAAAAGATTTTAGTGGGACATCTGATGATGCAGCATCTTTCCTTGGAAAGAAACTGGAATATCTTGTCTCCAGGTACAGTTATTCTAATACAATTAAAATACTTCATGGTCTGTTTCCTTTTCTGGGATTAAAACTAGTTTGTATTGCAGTCGTCCAACGGCTGTAAACCTTTCAGATGCTGCATCCAAACTCAAGGAAGTTGTATCAAAGGCTGCTTCCACTGCTAAAGACACTATGGGTGTCTTTCAGGTAATTACATTGCTTTGTCTCACTTGAGCAGCCATTGCTTCTTATTTTTTGTCCTTTATTGAACTAGAAAAGCTGCAAAGGACTGTAGTACACCCTTGTATGGCTTCTCTGGCCTCTCTTCTCATTTTGCACTGTTGTTGATTGTCTATTTTAAACTACACACGGAGAGAATGGTGAGGGTGTCCACTACTTTTTTGGCAAGCAATTTATTATGTGTAAAATAATTTGTCCACACCAAAACTATGTGTATCATGATTATGTTTAGTTGTTGCCTTGTACTTCATTACATGACTTCCATAAATCTTCTGACTCATGGAGATGCTTTTGGAATATACATATGCATAGAAGCTCTGAAGTTTTTGGTTCATAGATCTAAATTGAAGTCAGACCACATTATGAAAGATTAATGTTTTTGTGTTAGGCTTACATAGAAGCCGCTGAGATAATGCTTCAAGATGATGTTGCCTCAAATAAAGCAATTGGCTCCTATGGAGCTGGATTTCTTCTGCACCAACTGAAAGACTTTGACAGGATATCGGTTTTGACCCATTGCAATACTGGCAGGTAATTTCTATGAACGCTGCCATAATCATATGGGAACTCAATTGGATCATGGCAACTGATCTTCTCATCTAGAGGCTTTCTAATTGTTGTTTTTCATGTTTCTAATAGTCTCGCAACAGCTGGATATGGGACTGCTTTAGGTGTGATTCGTGCACTTCATGCTGAAGGAGTGTTAGAAAGGGCATACTGTACTGAAACACGTCCATTCAATCAAGTGAGTTATAGGTTTTTGTTCCCTTTATCACTGTCTAAATTTAGTGTACCAGTGAGGGTTCTGAAAAAAAAAAAAAAAAAAAAGGATGTCTGACATATGTAGAAGTGAAATTCTTCTTCTTCTCCTCCTTTACTTCTCTGATTGCATGCATGGGTTGGAAATACTCGAATCATGAACTCCTTGTAAGTCAACATGGTTTAAAAACCATTTACACATTTATAAAAGGCTAAATGTATACCCATTTATCTTTGCTTCTGCCTATGTTGGACATGGATAAGCGTATTAAGCCCTGTTGAACTCTCCCTGTCTAACCTGGTGAGAGCGCCAAAAGAGAATAGACATTGAATGAAAAAAATAGGACCATGATGGAGTTATATTCCTACTTCAGCAGAGTCAATTTTGCTGGAGAAATGCAGGATAGCAAATTCATAAAAATACTCTCGTTGTCATGGTCTGTGGAGCTCATGATTTTGGTATATATCAGTCAGATGGGTGTCTATAATTTCTTCAATTTTTTTGTGTTTGTTAGGGATCCAGACTGACAGCATTCGAGTTGGTTTACGAGAAAATTCCTGCCACTCTATTAGTAGATTCTGCTGCTGCAGCACTAATGAAGGATGGTCGAGTCAATGCTGTTGTTGTAGGAGCCGACCGTGTGGCCGCTAATGGTATTTTTGACATTTATCTTGTATTCAGTTGGTAATCTCAAACTTACATGTACTTTTTTTAACTCCGTTTCTGGAATAATAGGTGACACAGCCAACAAGATTGGTACTTACAGCCTTGCTCTTTGTGCAAAGCACCACAATATTCCATTTCTAGTAGCTGCACCACTTACTTCCATTGACTTATCCATTACCTCTGGAGAAGAAATTGTCATAGAAGAAAGATCTCCTAAAGAAGTGTTGCATGCACGCGGTGGACTTGGGGAACAGGTCGCTGCTTCTGGAATTGCTGTTTGGAATCCAGCTTTTGATGTTACCCCTGCTGATATAATTAGCGGAATCATCACAGAAAAGGTAACTCTCTCTCTTATTCATATGCACAGGCACACCCGCATTTGTACTGCTTTCTTTGGCATTTGAAACTGAAGAACCTGTAATCCTCAGGGTGTTATAACAAAGAATGGGACTGAGGATTTTGATATTAAAGGCTTCGTGCGGAAGGCAACAAGCAATTCTTAATGGCGGAAGCAACTTTCGTGGCAAATGGCAAAACATCTTTGAAAAGGAGACGTCTCTTCAGCCAACAATTGAGCATTTCAAAAGCTCGGCAACTTAAACTGGGGCACGCCCGTTACAGTATTACCCTAACTAAATTGGAGCAAACCATGTGTTTGACCTGGCTTGTGCAAAGTTTAGCAAATGCAAAAATTTTGCTGCTCGACTAGTGCTTGTCACAGTCTTGTTAATGCATGATGCCCGCCATGCTTGGGTGTTTTACGAATTTTTCAGAATTATGTCATCTGGGCAGCGAAAGTTGTCGAAATAATATCAGAAGACGTGTATTCTTGACGAGTACTCATGCATGATGCCCGTCATTGTGTTTAATGCTCACCATGCCTGTGTACCCTATTTCGTCTAATGTGCTGATTTCAGTCTTTTGTCCGCATATTCACTTCATGGCATGCCACTGGGCACTTTTGAGGCGCTGAAATCACCGTGCCTCGCCGCCTTTTTTAGTCTATCGACTACTTCCTTGCCTCTGTGAAAATTGATGTGGAACATGCTCTCTTAGACTGATGCTGCAAGGCATATGGTTGCCTAGAATGTTCAACTCAGTAATAGCCTTATCACCCACGAATTCAATTCAATTGTTGGCTTACAGTTCAGGGTCGTCACTCGTAAATGTGGTGTCCCTTCGCCTGCCAAGCTTTGTTCTGATGTGATGAAGTCCATCAAGATAAATGCTGATGTTCTAATCTTGGCCATCTTTTGTTGCTACCTTCATCCGTTGAGCAAGTAATTTTGTGCACTAAAGATGTCCGTCCCATGTACTTGCAAGCTTCCATTTGGTAGCAGTTTCTAAAATCTAGAATGATGCGTGGTTTCATTACATGAAGGACCATACTTGGTAATATGTCCAATTAAGCAAAGTTGAGGATTCTAAGATCCCGTTTAGATTGCTATTTTTTTGAAATTTTTATAAAAATGATATATTATAATGTGAAGTAAAAAAAATAATTGAAAAATATATTCATAAAAAATATAAAATTTTTTTGACAGAAACTTAATAATCCAAATACCACTTTTGAAAGAAAAAAAAAATTCCCCCATATAATATGTTCAGAATTAGCTACTAAACTTCAATATTTACTCGCACCAAATTTCAATAGAAAACTAACAATCCAAACACCACCCAAAATTCCCCGGTCCGTGTAACGTGTCCAAGACTACGCTACTAACCTTCAATATTTCCTCGCACCAAATTGCCTTCCACTCTCACGAGCCAGAATCTGTCTCATTTTTCGCGGCAAAACCCCCCCCCCTTTGGCGTCTCCACTGCGATTCTCCCAGTTTCAGGTTCTCCCCCTCCCCCCGACCGACTATAATCTTACATTCTGATGCATTTGTTGTTAAATTTGTCAATTAATCCTGGATTGTTTAGTTCTTCATATTTTAATTCATTTGTTCTTTTTTCTTTTTTTTTTTGTTTCTTTCACTTATGCAGTCCAAATTTTATGAGAATCAAGCTTTTCTTAATTTCTTTCTTTCGTTGCGCATCCCGTCTTTCTGGTTGATGGGAAAATGCTGATGATTTTGTGTGCGTGAATGGATATTCAGACTAAGGAATTTTTATGTTGGGTGGGTTTCTGTTATGCTATAGGTTGGGGGCTGGTGAAAGATAATGAAGAAATCACCGTTACCAGTGCAAAATATATGTGGGCCTGAGAAACAAAAAATTGGCAAGGAAGCTTTAGTAAAGCTCCTCAGGTGGCATTTTGGGCATTCCGAGTTTCGTGGAAAGCAACTGGAAGCTATTGAAGCGGTACTTTCAGGTTCGTCTAGCTATTCACTTTTAGTAGTATGGTCTGCCCATTCAAAACTTCTTGAACTCCCTTCTTTTGTTTTTCTTTCTACAGGCTTATTAAAAGTCTCGTGTGATTTGAAATATAGTAACTTGATTATCCCACTATTCTGAATGTTTGTGTTGGTTTGAATTTAGGAAGGGATTGCTTTTGTCTTATGCCAACTGGTGGAGGGAAATCGCTGTGTTATCAAATTCCCGCCCTGGCAAAAACCGGCATTGTGCTTGTTGTCAGCCCTTTGATAGGTCCATATTTGTTACCTTAAACGTGTTTTCCATAGAGAAAGTTTAAACTACGAAATACCTTTTTTCTTTTATTTTCAAATGCTAGGAGATCTCATTGCTTTTGTTTCGTTCTCCTTCTCCATTTTCATGCAGCCCTAATGGTAAGTGTATTCAGAATTTGTTGCTGTTGTTATATTGTGTGCTTATATATAAGATGCTGTATGTAGGTAGATTCTAGTTAATATATCTATTTTAAACAGGAAAATCAAGTAATGGCATTGAAAGCGAAAGGAATAGCTGCAGAATATCTTTCTTCAACCCAAACTGCACAAGTTAAAAGCAAGGTACTTTTCTTGTGTATATGGTCATCTTTAATTCTCAATAGCAGCCTGAATACATGATTCTTTAAATGTCAAAAGCCCATTGGTAAGTCTTTATAAGTTGATAATCACGCATAATTGAGACATTGTGCTCATGACGACATCTTTGTTTTGAATTTACAGATTTATGAAGACATTGAGTCTGGAAAGCCATCCTTAAGGTTGTTGTATGTGACACCAGAACTGATTGCGACATCAGGATTTATGTCAAAATTGACCAAGATCCATGCTAGAGCATTGCTGAATCTTATTGCCATTGATGAGGTTTGACAAACTGCTATAGTTGGGTTTGTAGCTCTTTTTTAAGATGCTTCTGAAGTTAATTTATAACCATCAGTGCTGTTCGAACTTTTAGGCACATTGCATTTCGACATGGGGCCATGACTTCAGGTAATGCCTCTGAGGCCATGACAATTATTCAGATATCTCTTTTTACTGTTTTCTGGTTTCAAACTCCAATACTTATTAACACGGAAGATGAACTTGAGAAGTATCTTCCTTTTCAGATGGCCCACCTAGATGGCCATTATTATATGTATTTTCTTTCTACTTTGCAGAAGATTTCGGTCTTTGAAGTAGATATATACACAGGAACTTTAGTGAAGTCACACACAAAATGAAACACTATAAGTTCACAAAGTTATCATCCATTAAAGCAAAGGTAGAACAACTTTTGGTGGAATTTGGTGTCAAAACTCCAATCTCCTTTCCCTTCTCCCCCCAAAAAATAAAATGAAATATAATAAAAATAAATTTAAAGTAAAATATAAAATATAAAAAGGAGTCCCATGTATGTGCTCTTTGATGCTCAATTATGTTCTTCCTCGAAAAAGTTGAATCTAATGTGTCTTGTGATTTTTAGGTCATCTTATTTCCTTCAATTTAAGGAGCTTACTTTTTATCAACTTCCCACCTTTTTTAGATATGTATGTTTCTGGAACCTTCAAATCGATTGTAAAAGAGGAGACAGGAGATATCCTAACGTTGGCATACTGACTTTTAGTGATGATGCCTTGTTTTAGGGCATCTATATTTTGTTCACATAAATAGGCTCTTATAAATTTTACTTAATATCCCAACCATAAAAGTGTTGCATGAAAACCATGACAATTTAACCAAATGGTATTGGGGTATATGCTGCTTGCTGATGTGTAAATAGTTTAAGCTTTTTGTGGACAATGTACTTCCTTATCCTGTTATTAATTTTTGTTTTTGCTTGTAACTTCTCACTGGTGTGTAATAGGCCCAGCTACAGGAAGCTTTCTTCTTTAAGGAACCGACTGCCTGGCATACCCTTGTTGGCTTTGACAGCAACTGCTGTCCCAAAGTAAGTTTCATTTTTTCAACTTAAAGTTGAATTTCTAGTTCAAATTTAGTTGTTCAAAGCAATGGATCCAGATGCTTCTTGTACTCCTTCCACTAATTCTGTTAAAATGTTAAATTAAATCATCTTCAAGCTCAATTCCCCTTTGTATGCTTTAGTTCCTTGTAGTTTTGAGTGTGTTCATGGAATTATGAAATATCATTTTTAAATTTGCTTATTGTTACTAATCTTAGACGGCAATTGTTCAGTGAGTATACTTCTTTTGACTCAAGAATGAAAGTTGTTATATGAAATAGTTGTTGCTTTTTTCTCTTAACCTTTTTTCAATTATCTTCTTTTTGATGGAAGTTGGAGAAAGTATTTCTTTACTGCATACTCCTTTCAGAGTTCAGAAGGATGTCATAGAGTCGTTGTCCTTGCATAACCCATTGGTGCTGAAATCATCCTTCAACCGTCCAAATATTTATTATGAAGGTCAGCACAATGTGGTTTGCTTTACTGTAATTTTGGAATTCTTTTCGATTGCATCCATTAACTATTTGTGTTTGCTGAGCTGCATGAGTATCCGTTTATGTTTTAATGGTCTACGTGGATCACTCATCCACATTGTCTTAACCTAGCATGGTCAGTGAATCTCTATGGCTTTTCTGTTGTCATGACAATGCGGCACATTAAGGAAAAGACTCGAGTACAATCTGACACTTATACATTAATTTATTCAAATACGTCTTTTGGAAAGGTGTAGGATGGTAGGTTCTGATATGATTTTCTTAAGGACAAAACTAGAAAATTTCCTTTATAGAGAATTGGTTTGCTGAGAAGATTCAGGCATTTTGCTTGATCTCTTTATTATAACTTAAAATTCTATAGACAAGGTCTTCATCCTGTGAGAATATTTATATCAGATGATCTTTTGGCCTAATAAAAGCATTCCTTAAATGTTCATAGAGTTAGTTTCTTTTTTCCCCCTTTTTGGTTTAAATTTGCTGATGGCTTTTGTAATTTTGTACCTTGAAAAACAATTAACGTGGCTTCTTAAAATGAAAAATAATGTAAGTGTGTTTGGATAAGAGATTATTTCGAATAATTTTTTGAAAAATTTACTGTAGCATTCTTTTGATGTTATGCATGTGAGATAAAAAAGGTGATTGGAAAATGTGTTTATGATGCAATCAAATAAATTTGCACAAGTAATTGTCTATCCAAACAGAATGAATTTTCAAGTGTTTTGGTCATGGCTAATGTTTTGGTCATGGCAATTGGCATCTTAAACCTTCAGGGAGAGTTTCTCAAAGACATGTATATGATATGTAGCCTTCTTACTGGAGGTTTCCAAAGGTGAGATGCTATAAGCTGAAGTAACTTTATAAAGAAGTTTAGCACCACCTGAAAATATTGTCTACTTACTGATTTGAAGTTTGACAGATGGGAATGTTAAGATAGTGCGGTCAATTTCAGGTGTGGTCACTGATAACAGCCTTAATGTATAAACCAATGTTCTTTCTTTAAAGTATAGAGCTGGTGTGGGTCATCCCTATCAAATTCTAGTGTGAAAAGCAGAAACAGAAATACAGACTAAAAGGAGCCCGGTGGATTCAGAGATTAGCGAAATGAGGAGACTGAACAATATGTCATACTGATTTCATGTCATTTAGTTTATGTTAGAATTTCTTTTCACTGTGTGTCTCTGTTGGAAAGTGTGTATTCAATTTACAGGGTATGTCTATGAAATTTCAATCTGCCTGTCTTATTAGCTTTCTTCATGATGCAGTTCGATACAAGGACCTTATGGATGACCCATATGCTGACTTATGTAATTTCCTTAAATCACATGGAGATATCTGTGGAATTGTTTACTGTCTTGAACGTACAACTTGTGATGACCTGGCTTCTCATCTATCAAAACATGGAGTTACCTGTGCTGGTAACACAGCTTGTTGTTTTACCATCTTTAGTTTTTGGGCTTCCTGTAATCCGTACTGATGTTGCTGTGCTTTCAGCGTATCATGCTGGACTGAACAGTAAATTGAGGAGCTCTATATTGGATGATTGGATTTCAGCAAAAACACAGGTTGTCGTGGCAACTGTGGCCTTTGGGTATGGTCATTCTAAGTGTAAAGTTGATCTTTTCATTTTCCAGAATTAATTTTTTTGTGAATTTGTACTTGCCACTGAAGCTCTTTATTTTAAACACTGTGGACCAGGACTTAGACATTAATCTAAGTAATTGATGCAATCTTTTGAAACTCTTCTCAATTACAATATTGCCATTGTTGTTCGTGGACAAGTTATCAATACCTTAAACAGATTACATCTTTCATGACAAATTGTAATTCAAGGATAAGGGGAAAAAAAGGAAAAAATAAAAGAAGGAAAGGGCTCCTCATATGGAAGTTCTAAAATTATAGCAATAATTTGTGTTGTTCTAGCACTCTTTTTTTTTCCTTTTTCTTTTCCTGTATGCTCTGATGTTATGCTCCAATTTTTCTGATTAATCTTGGTTGTTCAATCTTGTCTGCTTTGTTCTCTATCAATTTCCATTCGAGCAACTTCGGTTGATCCTTGAGTTGGTGACTTCATTGCAGGATGGTATGCAACTTGTACGTCTTCTTTTTTGTTAGAAAATCTAGCAAGCTCCAGTAGGTTTTGTTGCTGACTTGGTTCCTGGACAATAATTTTAGGGTATAGATCGAAAGGATGTCAGAATTGTCTGCCATTTCAATATTCCCAAGTCCATGGAGGCCTTTTATCAGGAGTCAGGTAGAGCAGGGCGTGATCAGTTGCCATCAAGAAGTCTTTTGTATTATGGAGTGGATGACAGGAAGAGAATGGTTAATATTATGCTTTGCCAACACAAATTTCATATTTCCCATTTTGACTATCAAGCTCTGGAAATTTACTCTGATTCTTTTCAACCATATTCAAGGAATTTATTCTGGGTACTGCTAAGAACAATAGGTCACGGTCCTCAAGCTTGCAGGATGATACCTCAAAGAAATCCTTGGCAGACTTTAGACAGGTAGTTTTTGAGGCCTCTATAATTCTAGATGTGATGTTTTGTGTCTGATTCATATGGATCTTGACTTCATAATTCGTGAAGATGGTTGAATATTGCGAAAACTCTGGTTGCCGTAGGAAGAAGATCCTTGAGAGTTTTGGAGAACAGGTGATAACTGCTGGTGTCTACTAGTCTTTCCATTCCTATTTGTATTTTGGACCATTATTAGATGCTTGAGTGATACCTCTCGTGTTATCTTTGAAAAGTAGGTACCTGCGTCATTATGTGGAAAAACCTGTGATGCATGCAAGGATCCTCATTTGGTTTCCAAGTATTTGGGGGAGCTTACAAGTGCTTGCACTTTTAGAAATCATTCCTCCAGAATATTCATCAGCAGGTAGCTCAAATTCTAATTGTATCAGATGTACGTGTATGCATCAACTTTAGTGTAAATGAGATTACTTTTACTTGAATACAAGTTGTAGTTTCTTTTTGATAGTTGAAAACTCTTCTGCATGATTGGTCTAGCTGGTCTAGATCAGATGTTTCTAATGAGATAGTTGGTAAGTCCTTTGCTTTGTTTTTTCAAGGTAGACTAAATTTAAGATGACAAAACTATGATGATTATACCAAAACTTTTCTTTCTGTCTTGTTTGATTAACCAATTCCTTGATGACCTTTTAGCTTTTCCAGTCTATCTATAGCTAGTAAACTTGTCATGTCTGTAAGTCGTTGAACTTGGCCATTGTTTATAAAATAATCTATGAAAGCTATTTCTTCTGCATAATTGAGGAGGGAGGAGAGGAGGAGGGAGGGGTTGGTGGCGGTTTTGGTTGGTTCAATTTTCAAAAAATACCCTAAACAAATTTTAAATTCTAAAAATACCCCAAAATGCATCCCAAAAACACCACCAAAAATATCTACAGTAAAAGTTTTTCAAATACCACAGTAAATTATTTCAAAAACACCCCCCAAAAACAGCTAATCCATAGTTTTTGGAATGAAGCAAATACTCGGTAGCTACATAAGCAATAACCCAAGACTTCAGAGTTCCTTTGGAGCATTAGAATGAGTAAAACTGTGTTACAGTCTGTTGATTAAAAAGTCTCTCCTTTCTGAGTGATGCTATTCCAGCTGCAAGAAGGATCATAGTCTGCACATGGGCCAAAGTGCTCTGTGGAATATTTTCCAAGTCGACCAATTAATTTCCTAGCCTTGTTATTCCATTTTTACCATCCATTGAGGCTTGTGTGCTTTTTATAATATGCTTTAATGCAGTCTTCTCACATATGTTTAACGTGATTTATGGTGACCCATACTATTTACAGATGTGTTTTGGCTAGTACACTTTGCATCTGTAGCTTTGAAGGATAGTATTTTTGAAAGAGCAGAGTACATTTTGTTCAAGACTACTTAAACAGTAGTTAGGCTTAGTTTGCTGTTGATGAGGACATGTTGCTAAATCATTTTATTAAATAAATTGGCAGAAACTATGAAATGAATTATATGATTTGATCATTGTTACATGTTATGCTCTTTAGACTTATGGCTATCTGCAGCCAAATCTGATAAGTAACTCCATTTCCATATACTGTATTGCTGAACTTGTTAAAAGATTTACAGATTTTGCTGAAAGTTAGACAGTTTTTTGACTGCATGAGGTGCTCCGGGTTCTTGTATATCTGCTCTCCTTATTTTTCTTTTTCTGATTTCGGATAGTTGTTTTAGCTTTTATCCCAGCTCTTTTGACAAAAGCTTATGGCCGGTTGCTTGCCTTCTTCCCTTTTAGCTGGTTGACATGTGTGGATGTATGTTGCCTTGCAGCTCTGCAAATCTCCATGATGAAGAACAGATTTCTGAGTTCTGGAGTCGTGATGAAGAAGCAAGTGGATCAGAAGAAGATATATCTGATGCTGATGGTATACCTCAAATTTAACTAAAATTTTCTGGAAGAGCAGTTCTTGTGTGTTCATCTGCATGTAGTGATGTGTTGATATAGAACCCTGAAAGCTTTTTGTTGTTGATACGAGAAAATTCAGATGTTGACAGTCCAAAGAACATGTTCAAATCAAGATCAGTTACAAATTCAAGCCTGCATGATAGGATTGAATTGTTGCAACGTGCAGAAGAGAGTTATTATCGAAATGACTTGCCCGACAAACAGGTAGATATTCTGTTCTTTCCAAGTCAATCTCTATGCGTGGACTCAATTTTATAGGCTCTTCGACATTGCCTGTCAATAGCCTGATACATGGTAAAATATTGCTTCTCCTACTAATCACAATCACCTTGATAAATTTGCTTGTCTTGCTACGCTGTACATTGTCCCTGAGGGCTAACAATTAAACTATGAAACTGATACTGCATACTGGTATTGAGCTTTACTTAATGAAGCTGATGGACAATGTATAATGCACCTGCAATCTTACATACTAATACTGTTAAGCTTCAGATGGGAATATTTTAGGCTTATGAATTGGTTTGATGTCATCTATTTTTTCAGTAGCATGATAACTTGGTTAATCTCTTCTTTAGCTTGCATTTCGCTAATGTTTCCTACGAACAGGTACACAAGATGGATAAGAACAACATAACAGAAGCATTAAGAGAGGCTGGCAAGCAAAGATTATTAAATACAATGAAGCAAAAGCAGCAAAAGCTCGATGTTTTACGGTATGCCTCTTTCCCACTCTGCCCAACCTTCCCCCGCCTCCCCTCCACTTTTTATTTGGACACCTAGGTGAAGAGTTGAATGCTTAGAACGGTACCCACCGCTAGGCTGGTATAGCTTTTGATTTCCTGTCGTCTCAATTTTTCCTTGTTGCTTTGCAGGATTGATTATGAAGCATCTGCCAGGACACTTGAAAATGAGTGTCACAAGAAGTATGGGAAGAGTGGCAAATCTTTTTATTTATCTCAATTAGCAAGTACCGTGAGATGGATCTCTACAGCAAACTCGGAAGAATTAGTGAATAGGCTCAACAGCAGCCAAAGTCCTGGATGCAGTGCTATGATTGCAAAGTCAGATTGCTCTTTGCCTTCAGTATCTCCATCAGGTGGCAAGTCCATAGTTACAGATGAAAATTTGCATGACAGCAGCGGATCAGAAACCCCTTTAAGAGCATTGCAACATGCTTCTGAAGACAAGAAGTTGCCACCAATTCCATCTTTCTCTGATTTCATCAATAGCCGAAATCCAAATGATAACAAAAATTTGAAATCAAGAAAGCAACCTCCTAGTAGAGATCACAAGAATCCTGATAAGAGGGTGAGAAACCAATAGGTTGAATTTGATAATTCTTCACCTCATTTTGCCTATTTTCCTCTTCATCTCTTTAGTCCTTCAGCCAGGCGAAGGTGGCTGGCATTTGCTCATTGTATGTCCGCTTTCAGCAAAGATGATGTGTGGTTCACGGTTAACTTAGGAGAGAGGTCGTTTTTCTTTTTCTTGACCCATTATGTTTAGGGATGGCAATGGGACAGGTTTGGGAAGAGAGATCCCTCCCCTGTCCCCTACCCTGTTGTCAAAAAACTCCTCCTACCTCTGCCATGTACCCCGCCTCCGTTCTCCCTGCCCTGCTTCTTTGTAGGTACTTGCAGGTGATAATTTGGTTTTTTTTTTTTTCAAAAGCTTTTATTCGATAAATCAAACTAAATTCAAAAAATAAAATAAAATATGAAGCCGAAAAAAATGAAACAAGAAAAGTGTTAAATAAAATACCAAGAAAATTAAGCAACTCGATTAGATTGTATAGATAACATTTGAAAATACTCATAAAATGCGTAACATATTTGTGTCAAATATCAATTAGGAATTTGGATAAAAATGAGATAAAGGTTTTGTTTAGTTGTCAAATATTTTAAATTTATTATTATTAGATTGCATATTATATTACACTTATTTATATTAATAAAATGGAGCGGTGGACAAGGAGGAGGTATTATTTATATTAATAAAATGGAGCAGTGGACAAGGAGGAGGTATCATTCCTCGCCCCTTGTCCCATTTAAAACGAGGGGAGAAAATTCTCTCCGTTCCCGTCCCGTCTTGCCTCGTTCCATTTCTCCCTCCACGGGACGGACAATCGTGGGCATCCACTTTCATTGTCATCCTTCATTATGTTTTCTTTTTTTTCTTCTATAAAAGAAAAATCACATAATATTCTGTGTCTATAGTCCAAAAAAAAAAAAGTAACAGTTACCGTTTTATCAAGTATATTTTATCCGAGAATCTCAACTCAAGTATGCAGACCTCACTGGGGATTGTACGTTTCAGTACCTCAAACCCAAAACATGTGGGTCTAACAAAGTCATCCGCCTGAGGTCGAATGGCCCAATACTGCTTTCGGGACAAGCCCACGTGAGGGAAGCTCGGCTACTTGTCTTGGAGCCGAAGCTTCTTCCTTGCTTATCAGTGTCTGCAGTCTCTTTTTCTTCCAATTCTCATCGAAAACTGCAATTTTCGTTGCCACCATTGAAGTTCCACTCATCCATTAAAGCAAAACAATTTGAAGAAAAAAAAAAAGAGGAAGGAGAAGAAATCGAGTAGAAAAATGAGTAGTCGTGGAAGCGGAGGTGGTTACGATCGTCACATCACGATCTTCTCTCCCGAAGGTCGTCTCTACCAAGTCGGTAAGCTCCTTAAATTTCTTTTAAACCCTATTCACTATCTATTCCGCAGCTTTCTTTAGAATTTGCGTCCAAATTTATTAATTTGGAGCTAATTTTAGTTTCAAATATTTATATTTTGGACGCGGTGGGTGGGAGGAATGGGTTTATTGATCTTTTTAGGGTTTTTAATTTTACATATGTACAGAGTACGCATTTAAGGCCGTTAAAGCCGCCGGAATAACCTCCATTGGCGTGCGGGGGAAGGATTCCGTCTGTGTTGTTACCCAGAAGAAAGTTCCGGTTAGTGCAATTATTAGCTCCTTCTTTTTCTTTTTCCCTTTTTTTTTAAATTATTTTTCTTTATTGCCGAATAGTGATATAGAGACTTGAATATTGCAATATGTTTTATGGATTTTGGAGGATTCATGTAAAATTGAAATGCCTGTGAGCAGGACAAGTTATTGGATCAGACTAGCGTCACCCATTTGTTCCCCATTACTAAGTATCTTGGACTTTTAGCTACTGGGATGACAGGTTTGTTTATTTTTATCCTTATTATTGTTTAATCTTTTTTTACTTCTGTGGTCCGATTGAGGTTCTTATGAACATTGCTTAGTTAAATGAGAGTTTTTATATAGGTACATTATAAGTAATTTTCAGTCTTTGAGTTCAATTATAGCCCTGGATTGTTAGAGGAATGGTGTTTTCAGTGGTAGCTGTGGGTAAACCTCTTAGAATTATTAATTTCAGGCAGCAAGATTGAAAATTGACAAAGTTACAGCTGAGATGATTTTTATTCTTTCCTTGAAGACGCTTATATACATAATGTCGTGCAGTTCATGTACTGTGTAACAGTTGTGCATTTACTTAGATCTTTTAGTACTTGTTTCTAATATGGCTTAGCAGGGAACTGTCTTTTTACATTTATATGTTGCTAGGTTGTAGAAAATTTTGCTATAGTCGTTTAAATGGGTATTGCATATGAATATGTTAGGGTAGGATGGCGAGTGTTCATTGCCTCTGTCAAAACAATTTTGAGCTTGCCTTCAAAGTTTAGATTCACCTTGAACTGTATCAGAGCTGAAGTTTTTGTATATTGTACATATTAGGAATTTAAAATATCTTTTCTTATCAAGAGTAACATTTATCTAAGGTTTAGAGAAGTATGAGGGGAAATTGTGTTGTAATCTCCTGTTTTGACATAAATTGTAGTCATTTTGCTCCCCGAATAAGTGCCCATTGTTTGTTATCATGTGCTGATCACATACTTATTTTCACTGTTTAGCTGATGCAAGGACCTTGGTTCAACAAGCTAGAAATGAGGCTGCTGAATTTCGTTTCAAATTTGGTTATGAGATGCCTGTGGATACATTGGCAAAATGGTAAGTGAATTTTTTTTATCGCTGTAAATCCTGTTTCTCAGGAACTCCTTCTGTATTGAGCCCATTTCTCTTTATGCAACCTCGATATCAACGTGTAACCCTGTTGAATCTTGCAATCTAAACTGGCTATAGTGGAAAAATGTTGAAATTGTATGATTTTCAAGCATCTTTGGAAGTTTTGCATTTTGTACCTGATAACTACTCTGCCATTATGCCACCTATTCTTATATTTTTGGTGGCTTAAAAAGCAAAACTTGACTAGAAAACTTGACTTTTGAGAGCTTTTTCCCCCATGTGTGTGAAAGGTTTTTTTTCTTTTGTGCTAACAATATCTTTGTATATGCTTCTGTGCCTATACGTCAGGATTGCTGACAAATCTCAAGTTTATACTCAACATGCTTATATGAGGCCACTTGGAGTAGGTTTGTCTCGAACCAGTTGTATTAAATTTTGGAAATTAATTGTCTTTCTCATTGTTAAAGTGTTAACATATACATTTTTACTGCATAGTTGCTATGATATTGGGTATTGATGAGGAGGCAGGACCTCAGCTATTCAAGTGCGATCCAGCTGGCCATTTTTTCGGACACAAGGTACTTGGAAATTTTTCTTTTTTCCAATATATCAGTAAAGTAGCAGCTTTTACTATGTTTGATGATTAAGCATGAGCAACTAGTGTGACTGAGGAAAGGGGCCTCTTAAGCTAAATCACTCATTGCATGCTCGTCTCCAGTTACAAGGATGCCACTAGCTAACATTTACTGATCAACTTCATTAAGCTTTCTCCGTTGAACTTGTTTCGAATCAACCATTTTTAGTGCTTGTCTGATTTATATTTTGAGTCTAAATAAATCTAAAATGAATTTTGTGAGAATTGTATAATTGATTATTGAAACCTGAAGATGTTTTATTGTGGTACTTCATTTGTATATTCCCCTTGGCATGGGTTTAATTCTGGATTCTGATTACCACTTGAGATGGCAATGTCATGTTTTTCTTTTGGCTTTAGGAAGCCTAAAGAATTGGTGAACTACTATAAGTAGTAGATGTTTGATTTGTTGTTCCCATTCTCAGGCCACCAGTGCTGGAGCTAAAGATCAAGAGGCAATTAATTTCTTGGAGAAGAAAATGAAAAATGACCCTGCTTTCTCTTATGAGGAAACTGTACAGGTAAAACGAATAAAGGACGAGAGTGTTCCTTGCATTTTCGTTTGGTGCCAGATTTTCCTTTGTATTGTTTACAAGGCTTAGAAGGTGATTAAGTTGGAACCTTGCCATTGTTGCATTCACTGTTATAGTAAAATCTGGAAGTACAGGTGACGCTTAAAAGATACAAGTAAACTAAAATTTGCATATTTAGGCAAAATACTCTGTGGGAAATGAGATGTTGAAGGTGATGTAGAAATCATGAAAGACATAGCAGATGCTGTAAAGAGAATTGTAAATGATGGATAGGGTAGTGTGGTCCAGTATTCAATTTTGGGCAAACTAAGATAGGTTTAGGCAGCATTAGTTCACTGGAGGAATAAGATCTTCGACATATGACAATAGAACTTACTCTACTTCTGCATTTTTGTGTAATATGTGAAAAAGTAGGAGACATCGAGGTTTGTATTTATCGAAGATTATTTCATCATGTTATAGGTGATTTACACGTGCTGGTGACAAGAAAGCATCATGAATAGTTCCCCCCCCCTTGTGTGTGTGTGTGTATGTTCTGCTCTTTTTGTCTTATTTATTTACTTATCGTTGGACGTGAAAATATAATATGTTTAGTGGGGAAAAAGTACACTGAAGTATACAGCAGATAGCAACCTGCAGTCAGCCTCATCTATCCATTTACACTTCAAATGAAAGTTGAGATGGATTTCATGCTTAGGGAAAGCCTTGTGTGTGTGTGTGTGTGTGTTCTGCTTTTTCTGTCTTATTTATTTACTTATCGTTGGACGTGAAAATATAATATGTTTAGTGGGGAAAAAGTACGCTGAAGTATACAGCAGATAGCAACCTGCAGTAAGCATCATCTAGCCATTTACACTACAAATGAAAGTTGAGATGGATTTCATGCTTAGGGAAAGCCTATGAATATCACAGTTAGATTGTTGTAATTTGTAGAACTGTTGACAGTATTCCCAAATCCTTCAAATGTCTGTGCACA